ATTTCATTCTTGAATGGCCCCCTACAGTAGACAGACACAGTTCTATCACCTTCTTTTTGGAGTTTTTCAGACAGCATTTTTAATCTGGTGTTTTTAAATTCCACTTCAAAACTGATTTTGGGAAGGCATGGGAGAAGGTAACCATGGAGCCTCCAGCACAATGACAGAAACTTAATATTGAACCAAACAAATGGTTTGGAATGAAAATGCTTTAAGGAGTCTTTTAAAGATTTGTAAATGTGATATGTTACAGACTGGAACTAAAAATAAACTATGGATTCTCACAAATGTGACTAGATGTTGCGAGAAGTCCATATTACAATACTGTTATCCCCATAACAGGGCATTAAGATATCACAAAAAAGTCTCCATCCCATATTACGTACCTTAATGTTGATAAACTACAGTTGATCAAGTCAGGACCAATCTTGCTGGACTTCAATATTTGTCCCAGCTAGGTGTAAAGGAAAAAATATGTATTTATTGTTGGTGGTCAAACATGATTGCCCATTATTTTATGAAAATTTAATGTGGAAGAGCTACTTGGGGTAAGTATGCATTTGTCTTCTTACCAAATTAACCAAGAATCGTTGTGTTGAGCTGAAAATCCTTGATGTGGGATTATCCATCTGTGGCCTATAGATCAAATTAGTTGCAATGAAGTTGACTGTAAAGCATTCGGTTGCCACTGGAGGTTTGGAAGTGGGAGAAACAGCTGGAAGAGGAATAATGGATGTCAGATACAGAAATCAGAACTGATAGTATATAATCTATTCATCAATCACTGTTTTGTATCTTATAGTTCCTGTCATGAACGTGGGGTTCAGTGGTGCATTACAGAGGTTTAAGGACAAGCATATCCTTTTCACAGTTTGAAAGTAAATGCTATTCTTGATGTGTTGTGGGTCCTGAAAAGGGCAAAAAGGACGAGTAAGGGCTGGAAACCAAGTTGTACAAAAGAAAGATTGATGGGTTAAGCCTGGAGAACAAAAGACTCAGAAGGACAATGGTAGCACTTTTCAAGAATGTAATGGGATACTATAGAGAAGGGAATCGGCTGCTCTGTAAAGTCCCAAGATGCGGAATAGGTTCACAAGATAGATTCTTCTTCAGTGTTACAGAACTATTCCTAATGGTCATAATCAGAGTTGGAATATCAGAAATCAGTATCCAGCCTCTGTTTGAAGATCTCTACTGAACACACCACTTTGGGAATTGACATGGTGCACTGGGTGACATCTTTTACTAGAAAATCTTCTCAATACTTAATGTGCTTCTATATTGCTGTGGTTTCCACCTATTGTTTGTGGCAAAAGCTTCTAGGGCACAGTGCTTTACTTGCTCCGCAATCGATATATTTGGGACAGGCAGGGCTTTTTTTGTCATAGAACGCCCAAAACGGAGTTCCGGCACCTTTTTTGAATGGAACTTTGTAGGGTAGGCAAGGCGGGTTGTATAACGGGTGTGATTTCCGGCACCTTTTTTTTTTTTTTTTACAAAAAAAGTACTGGGGACAGGGTTGTACATTTTAGGTTGTGTACCACAGTTGAAGTCGATGGCTCAAGGAACCTTTGTAAAGGTGTACTTACTAGTCACACGTGATGCTTCATGATAATCTGAAATGGAAAGAGAGTTGTAAAAATAGAGAGTCACAAAAGAAGGCACAAGAGCACACTGGTATGGGAAGTCACTCTCAAGTTCTCCACCATGAGAAAAAGAGACGATATATTCCTCCTATATACTTCCAACTACTCCATCTCAACGAATATCAGATAGTAGGGTTGCAAATTATTCTGAAGGTGTCCAAATAGCAGCAGTTTAAGTAAGCTACTGTGACTAACTCTATATAGTGTCCACCTAGTCCAGGGATAGGCAACCTTGGCTCTTTTATGACTCGTGGACTTCAACTCCCAGAATTCCTGAGCCAGCTATGCTAGCTCAGGAATTCTGGGAGTTGAAGTCCACAAATCATAAAAGAGTCAAGGTTGCCTACCGCTGACCTAGTCCAATGATTTCTTGTAAGAAGGTCCTGGGACAGTGTCAGAAAAAAATAATCGAGAAGAACAGAGCCAGCACGTCTGGACTGCAAAATTCCAAATGACCATGACGGGTTAATAAACATGTTGCCATTTACTGGTCATCTACATTTCTATAGCCTGAATTTGGTAGAAGTCAAGAAAGTCTTGTAGCCCTCTGGCAGCTGTCCATTATGTCACCGAGAGGAACTATCACTTAAGTTACTTAACATTGGTCAGAACCGATTGAGTGCCAACCTCATAACCTCTTTAGCTATGAAAACAATCTCTGCTTCTTACCATTAACAAAAAGGCTGTTTGGGTCCAGGCTATATGTCTCTATCTTGGTGAAACCGTTGGTCTCATTTACGAATTTGTGATATATGTTCACTCGATCAAAAGGGGGAGCTGTGGTGATTTTACGATAGCAGCAGACACTGTCTACTCCGGTGTTCTTGTCCTGATTCACAGATCTGAAAATGAAAAGACACAACTTGAGACATATTCAGAGAAGCTGTAGAGGACTTTGGATGACTTCACAGAGGTAAGGTTTGGAAGTTTTCATACAGTATTTTTATATGGTGTTTTTAAATTTTAAATTCCACTTCCAACCTGATTCTGGGAAGGCACAGAGGAAGCTAATCGTGGGCCTCCAGCACAATGATCGGAAATGAATATTGAAGCAAGGAAATGTTTTGGGATGAAGATGTGGAAAGGAGTCTTAGAGATATTTATATCAATGTGATACATTATAGACTGGAACTGAAAGAAAGTATGGGTTCTCTCAAATAGACTAAATGTTGCGAGATGTCATCCCCATTAGAGGGCATTTAGGTATCACAAAAAATCTCCATCCCATATTACTTACCTTAATGTTGATAAGCTACAGTTGATGAAATCAGGACCAATCTTGCTGGCGTTCAAAATTTGTCCCAACTAGGTTTAAAGGAAAAATTATGTATTTATTGCTGGTAGTAAAACACTACTACTGACTATTTTGTGAAAATCTTATGTGGAAGAGCTACTTGGGTAGGTATGCATTTGTCTCCTCACCAAGTTACCGAAGACTCTTTGCGTTGAGCTGAAGAGCTTTGACTTCGGATTATCCATCTGTGGCCTATAGATCAAATTAGTTGCAATGAAGTTGACTGTAAAGCATTCGGTTGTCACTGGAGGTTTGGAAGTGGGAGAAACAGCTGGAAGAGGAATAATGAATGTGAGATATGGAAATGAGAACTGATAGTATATAATCTATCCATCAATCACTGCTTTGTATTTTATAGTTCCTATCATGAACTTGGGGCTCAGTGGTGCATTACAGAAATTTAAGAACAAGCAAATCCTTTTCACAAGCTGTTATTCTCGATCTGTTGTGGGTCAAGAAAAGGGCAAAATGGACGAGCAAGGGCTGGAAACCAAGTTGTGCAAAAGAAAGATTAATGGGTTAAGCCAGAGGTCTCCAACCTTTCCGGGTTCGAGGACCGAAGGAGAGCAGTTTCAAAATTGGTGAGCGCACTGGCTGGCCACTATCAGCCCCGTTTGCGCATGCGGCATGCAGTGGTGCCATGCACATGCGTGAATGGGAGCATAACCCCCATGGCGGCTAGAGGCCTGTTCACGCATGGGCCAACGGGCTGTGCAAACTGCCTGGGCTAGCGGCGCATGCACAAATGAGCTGCAGACACCTGCCTCACGCTAGCATCCCTGTTTGCGCCCATGCGCATGTGCAAACGGGGCAGCAGGCACTAACATGACTGGGGGAAAATATGCATGCACACGTGCGTGCACTGGCCAGCCATTTCTGTGGCCCACTGTCCAAGAGACTACGGCCCAGTCCCGGGCCCCGGACCATAGGTTGGGGACCCTGGGTTAAGCTTTGAGAACAGGACTGAGCAGGATTATGGTAGCACTTTTCAAGAATGTAAAACAGTAGTATACAAAAGGGAATACACTCAGTGGTGGGATTCAGCCGGTTCGCACCACTTCGGCAGAACTGGTAGCTAATTTTTTTGTTGCCAAGAATGGACTTCCGAAAGCGGCATCCATGCAGAGAACCGGTTATTCACATATTTGAATGCCAACACTGAATACACTGTTGTGTAACGTCCCAAGATGCGGAATAAATTCACAAGGCGGATTCTTGTTCGGAGTTACAGAACTGTCCCTAATGGTCCAAATCAGAGTTGGAATTTCAGAAATCAGTATCCACTCTCTGTTTGAAGATCTCTACCGAACAGTCTATTTTGGGAATTGACATGGTGCACTGGTTGACAACTTTTACTGTCTGGAAAATCTTCTTAATATTTAACCTGCTTCTACATCCTTGTGGTTTCCCGACATTATTTGTGGCAAAAGCCGCTAGAGCATACTACTTTACATGCTCCGCAATTGGATTATTTGGGACAACATTAAACATTTAGATTGTGTACCAAAGTTGGAATCCATGGCTCAAGGAACCTTTGTAAAGGTGTACTTACTGGTCACAGGTGATGCTTCATGATAATCTGAAATGGAAAGAGAGTTGTAAAAATGGAAAGAGAGTCACAAAAGAAGGCACAAGAGCACACTGGTATGGGAAGTCACTCTCAAGTTCTCCACCATGAGAAAAAGAGATGATAAATTCCTCCTATATACTTCCAACTACTCCATCTCAATGAATCTCAGATAGTGGGGTTGCAAATTATTCTGAAGGTCTCCAAATAGGAGCAGTCTTTAGTTTAAGTAGGCCACTCTGACTAACTCTATATAAAGTGTCCACTTAGTACAATGGTTTCTTATAAGAAGGTCCTGGGACAGTGTCAGAAAAAAATCATTGAGAAGAACAGAGCCAGCACGTCTGGACTGCAAAATTCCAAATAACCATCACAAG